AATAACTACAAAACAAGCCGCCCGCCCGCTGCCCATGCTAAAATAATGACGAGAACGGAGAGAGAGCCAACCAAATACATAATGATAAATTGAGAGAGCACAGACATAGAAACAGACAAAGACGGCAGATAGAGACAGAGAGAGAGCGATATGGCTGTGTAAGTAAATGTATAAACAAAGCGATCCGATTCGATCCGATCCCATCATCGATCCCAAGTGATCATCAAATCCCACCGCAAATCGGATTAACAAAGGCTCTAGTGTCTAAACTCGTCACCTACCCCTTATCCATATCCATATCCATCCCATAGCTATAAGCAAACCTCATTTCACTATTGCTCTAATCTAATTACCGCCTCATTACCTTACTAAGCCCAGTCCACATCTCAACTATATACCGCACTGCCAAAATATCCCCATACCAACAATAATACTAAATATAACAATACAGCCAAAAGTAATAACAATACAAGTAATATAACAACATAATAACATTTAATAAGTATACAGAGTAACAATAAGTATACAACACATACGTATTACGTATCATATAATAATCTAATTACTCGTTCGTTATTCATTAATTAAACATCCAAATTAAATACCAAATGACATATTGCTACATTCACCCCCAAAACTAATTCAATCAATTCAAATTTAATTTCATTCAATCAAATTACTGCTGTCCACATTAAATTGTTCTCTCCACAACACATAACTATATAAATAAGCACACAAAATTTCATTACAGCTTATTACTATTACTCTCTGCCTTACAGCCTATTACTTATTACTCATTACAGCCTATTACTATTACTCTCTGCATGATCTGATCTGATCTGCTCACTTTGCAATATCCGTAATAAATACGAATTTAATTAACTAAATCTCACCATTCCAATATGCCCCAATATCTCATCCCATTTCCCTTGGTCACAAATGAATTTACCACATTCTCGCTTCTAAGCTAGATTTCTTATTATAATAATGACAATTACAATCTAAAATCAGTTAATTAAACAAATTAATTAACTGATTTCAGATCTAATTAATTAATTAATCAAATAACTTCGCTGAAACGTTCGTCTTTAATCTAGCAAATACAAGTTTTTAACAGGCAATCATCTTATTTTCCATTAACATTCCACACCTCCAATGTATCTATCTTATTCACATTAATATCAAACCGAAACCGAATACGATACGACCGAAATACTTTAGCAGACCACAAAAAAGACCCCTGTTCAGGTCACTATCAAACTATTAATATTACTATCATAATTATTCTAACTATTACATATAATTAATTACCCAATAGAGATAGTCACCAAACCGCTCATGCATTAAACACGGGCATGAGAAAACCGCTCATATTCACTCACTCATTAACCCTAATTACTATTATTTTTAATATTTACTCCTTCCCGCTGCCCATTTCAACTAACTATAAAATATATTAACCGCAGAATGTGCACACATCCACTCCGCAAACAAATAAGTAAATAAACCTCTCAAGTACCACACACTTCAACTCAAGTGAGAAGTATTCACGGCTATAACCGCAATAACAAATAACAATAATAATAATAATAATAAATAATAACAATAATAATAAACAATAACAATAATAATAAATAATAAAGACAACGAATCATTTTCAAAACATCCGTCAAAATCCCTTAAAATACAGATTATATTATAATAATCGTCTTATTTTTAAGAATCCGCCCAATTAAACCCACTTAATTTATCAATCCCGTATTCATTTTATCATAATAAAATAATCACCAACCCAACCAATCTCATCCAAAATAGTCGATCGCATCCCCCAAATTCCCTCCTAATTAACCTTCTGCTAATTAATTAAGAACGTGCATCACAACGATCACCACCACACAGTACTACCCATAAAAGTCCTCCCAAATCGCCACACATCCTCGCCTAATGACCACTCTAATTACCCCCCAGCCCACCTGATGATCTAATGAAATACCACCTCTCTCCTCTATCTCAAATAACCCATCCCTGCTATGACCTCTAACCCTGTAATGACCATCCATTCCGTTCTCCCATTCAAATTACGATCGAATCGAATCGAATCCATTTCCAAAATTCAAAAGGTCAAAGGTCACCTCAACCTTTCACTACTCAACACAAACAACAAAAAAAACACCACCAATACAAAGACGACGACAATAGCCACCGACCATCGGCAACTGTAAACGCGTCAGATGCACCGCCATGCGTGTGCGTACGCAAACGCGTACGCGTATGCGTCACCCCGTCTCTAATTACATTACCGCAACAACAAGGTGGATGCGCTGCTATGCGGATGCGTTAATTAGTAGCTTTATAACCATAATAATTACTATTACTATTAATTACTTTTAATAATATACCTCCCAAAATATGGTTCAGTGAATATTAACAGT